ATTTGGAGGACAGAGATATGAACCGAGTAATGGGGGCAGACTCGAGAAGCTGGAAAAATGCAAGGAAACCTTCCTACCTATAACCTCTAGAAAGAGCACAGCCTCGCCTTCCTATTTTACTGACCTCCGCAGCTATAGGAGGATAAATTTGTGTTGTGTTAAGCCACTAAATTGGTGTTAATTTGCTATAGAAGTGATACAAAATGAGTGCATTTGCCCTGATTTTAGAGAGAGAGAGAGAGAGTGTGTGTGTGTGTGTGTGTGTGTGTGTGTGTGCAATCCTGAGCTGCTGACTGCATGATAATAGCTTTAAAGTTCAAAGATACCTTAGTCAAAAGATGCTTGGAAAAAACTCTTCTTACTAGAAAAGAGATAAAGTTCTGAATGAAGAAACACAAGGATCTATGATTCCTGGCTTCATTCACTCTTGCTTCTGAGAAACTCAACTGATCATTAAATTATTTGGTACCTTTTTCATATTTTGAATTAATATTCATTAAAAATAGATAAAACAAAACAAACAAATGATGTTCTAGGATAGGAGCATACTACAATAGACTAATGTGCTTATGTTACTTTGATTTTTCATATCTCAGAGTTTTGCTAAGTTGCATACAGTTGCAATTTACAGCCTCAAATGTGGGATATTTAGAAAACACGAACATCTACAACTGTTATGTAATTCTTCACCATAAATCTGTAAAAAGTATATTTGATTACAATTACAGAGAACTCGTGGAAAAGAAAGGGTGTTTTGAATCAGAAGACTGGGGTTTGTATTCCACTCCACCATTTTCTCCAGTGGCCTCTCACCCTTCAAATATCTTGTGGGAAACCAAGTGGCAGCTATGACCGAAGACTGGGAAAGACAAAAGATGGCCGGGACTGGGGAGCTCTAAAGCTGATCTTGCAGTTGCTCAAATTGCATCAGTCTCTTTAAGTCTCTCATTTTAACTGCTCATCCTGGCTAAATTTAATTTCTGTACAAGTGCTATCATTTTATGATCTTGTCCTTTGTGAATTTATGTAGTTACTCTGCACGGCCTCATCCTGCAGCCAATGCCTGTATTTTCAATAAAAGAACCTCTACAGATGTTCGTATGATGGGACAGCATGTGGAAGCCTGGCCGGTGGCCAGCCAGGTGGGATTAGGCTAGCTCGGGTGTTCCAGAAACACAGTTATTATTTCCACAGCCTACACTGAAAGTTCAGTTCTATTTCTTTGAATGGGACTCCTTCATCTCTTCGCTTGCCTTGTGGGAAATGCATTAGGATTTCTGACCAAAGCTCATGGATATTGACTCTCTTTGGGCCTTTCTAAAACCTAGATTAGTTACTCTAAAATCACAGAAATGTAATTTTGGAATGAGTATGCTTTAAATTTTTTAATACTGAAATACTTATAAAGTCTTAGTGTAAATGCTTAAGAAAAATACTTAAGTTCAAAAATAAAGTGTTTTAGCAGAAATCAGAGTTCTATACATTTAGCTTTGTTAGCTGTTTTCATCCCTCTTGTGAACTTGAGGGACTTTTTGGGAACCTAAATGTCTTCTGGGGACATTTCTGTGGCATTGGTTCCTGGTGGCTGGAAATTTTCACATTCTATATCATTTAGAGATAGCAATTCATGATTCAGCATGTGTCATAGAATAAAGTAATAAATTGGACATCACACTTTATCATTCTGATTTATAAAAAATATTTTAAGTTATTCCAATTTCCCAACGGCTCCTATAATACCTCTCTGTGGCCTAGAAATATTTTTTTTTTATTGAGGTAAAGTCACTAATATGGAGGTCTCCTATGGGGGTATCTCTATTATAAGGGCCAGACTTATGAGATCTCAGCATGTTAGGCCCTTGCTTGTCTGTGATGGAGCTTTTAGGTCAGACTGATTTCTGGAAAAGGACCACCCAATCTTTGCTGTTGACCTAGCAAGAGGAAAATTCATTAATACCTTAATGAATGAGAGTTGTATGTATCACTTGAGTATGTGTAAGCTGCAGAATCTTTGACTAATTTGACTCTTACAGACTCAGTCTGTTTCCATTAGTAATTTGATAAAAAGCTGGAGCTGGTTGGCTTTAGAGCAGGTATCAGTATGGCCCCCAGCCCACCAGCTCAATGCCACTTTGTGTAGTGTGCTCTGTTCTATTAAGCAGATGTTACGATTTACTCCAGACATCCTGCATTCCATTAGGGAGTGAAATAGTCACTTATTTATCTAATTCACTCAGTTTTCAGTGTACCAATCAATGGACTGAACATGTGTGGTCTGTAAATTCTTATCCCATTTTTAGCAGATACTTATAAGGTAGACTTTAGAGCATCATTACCTCCATCTTTCTTATAATTTTCTCTTCTACATTTGAAGTTTCTCTGCTTTTTATATTTACAGATGAATAACTGTAAGTCACATTCAGAAGAGAAAATTACTTAACATGCGGTGGTTTTCAGACATCGTTATTTTTTCAAAATAATGTGTTTTCTTCTTGAAATAACATTGTTCTTATAATTAAGAAGCTTGGTTTCATATTTAATAAAGAACTCTGGATGCAGTCAAGCCAGTTTTCTTTTAGTGGTTTCTTATCAGTTATAAATCGATATTAAGAATGTACGTGTGTACACTATAGTAATAGGGGCTGACTGAGCACCATCTCATGAGAGGCAGGAACCAGACATTCGGGTTGGCCGCATCTGCAGCATTTTCATCCGTGAGGATGGCCGTAAGCATAGGTGGTTGGGTAAATGACTCAGCACCCTTACCCAGGCAGGCAGCCGTCCAGTCAGGGTACGTACTCTGTTTTCTTTACTCCACTCCGCCACTGGATTACAGAGTTTAATAAGGGACAGTCTCCTTCAGTGACTGCCTGCTTTGCATGCTGTGCATCAGGATGAATAAACTCTACTGAAGTCTATTCACTATATTTCCCTACAGTGTTTTTTGTTTCCAGTGAGATTCTTTGTGCTATATTCAATCCAGTGTCTTTGGTTGGATGACGTGGGTGCTCCTTTTTACCCATAATGCTTATGACATTAATAATAACTCTAATGCTTTTTGTTTATAACATTTTTATTCATAATTTTTGAGTAGGGTGCAGTGGAATGAGACTTAAGAGAGATCGGCTCTCTTTTTTTCTTTCTTTCTTCTTTAACGTCATTCCTTTCTCCTACTCCCTAGTTAATATAAATTGCTTCTTTCATTTCTTGCCTTACTCCTCCAAAGTCAGAAGTGACAGTAGGTGGTGTGCTGTGGTATGGAATAGATAAGTGGGCCAGCACTGACAGAGAACCATTCTTGGTCTTTTTTTGTATGTTTTCAAGTGAATTGAGAATTATGATCACTTCACAAAAGTGCATCAAAAAACGTATGTAAAAAGTTTATGTGTAAATATTTTATGTTTCAGGATTGCAACAAAGTTAATGAAGTTTAAAGCATTTTTTATATTTCTTCATGTTTCTTTTCTTTATAATTTTTTAGCTTTGCTTTATAGTCTCAAGTCGTAGTGGTAGTTTATTTTTTCAGTGTCTGATGGTTTTTCTGGGTAAAGAGCTTTAGTTGGCAATAGCAAATAACCTGTAATTCCTGGAATTATTGATCGTTTTGACAATGTTATTTTCAGTTTATCTCAGTTAGACTTTCCCTTGTGTTCTTTAATGTGTTACACATTCAATACATTTTTACTTTAAATTAGCTAAGAGCCACATATAAAAATTACTACGCACTAAATTAGGATGATTTTTAAATGGCATCAATAATGGCAAAACATAGTAAACTTTCCAAGATGCCAAATAATAAACTAAGTGTACCATCTGGAAAGTAAACTAAAAATATTCTAGCCTAAAGTCATATTAGTGTTTTCTAATAAAGTAGTTTGTAAGATCTAAATAAAGACATAGTGAAAATTCCCTTTGTTTTAGTTATTCTGTGAACATTTATTGCATTTAAACTTTGTGAAAATATAATTACTTTATAGGTTTTTTCCTTAGTTTAAGTGTCTGAAGGGAGGATGATATTCAAGTTTATGATCAGAACTAGAAGGAATAAATCTTTTAATATGTTTGTTTATAATTTTCTTTTTTTATCACTGCATTTTAAATTTATTGATCATTAATATTAATCTTGCAAATATTGTAATGAACATGAGGTTTAATGACAATTCAAATATATATATATATATATATATATATTATTTTAATTTATCAACATATAATGTAGTTGATTTTTGTGTCCCTTTACCAATTCCTCTTTTCCTCCCTCTCCCTCCCCCATCAACATCATATCACTTCACTTGTCTTAACAAGTTCAAGGAATTGTTGTGATTGTTGGGTCTTTCTCCACCCTCCAGTTTATTTCTTTGTTTATTTATTTATTTATTTATTTATTTATTCATTCATTCATTCATTCATTCATTCATTTATAGCTCCGACAAGTAAGTGAGAACATGTGGTATTTCTCTTTCTGTGCCTGGCTTATTTCACTTAATATATTTTTTTCTAGGTCCATCCGTGTTGCTGCAAATGGTATTATTTCATTCTTTCTTACAGCAGACTAGTATTCCATTGTGTAGCTATACCACAGTCTCCTTATCCACTCATCTGATGATGGACATTTGAGCTGGTTCCAATCTTTTAATTTGTTTAAAATTTTCTGATGAATCCTCTGGATTAAATTCAAAATAAAATACCATTTTGTTATTATAATCTGTTTAAATTCATTATTATAATCTGTTTAAATTCGTAGTAGATTTAGTTGCGATAGTAGAATTAGTTGCAATAGCCAAATAGTAGAATTTCACGTGACGCTATTCCATCATTTTTCTCAGTATATTTTTTCCAGAGATTACACATTCTACCGATTTCACATCCCCTCTCAGTAACGCACTGCATGGATTGAATCATTTGCATACCCTGAACATATTTCATTGATACGTATTTCTGCCAAAAAGAAAATATGAGTGATTTGTGTTTTTTTTAATTTTTCTTTTTCTTTTTAATAGGCCTTTAGTGAGTTTGAGGTTGAGCAGCATCAAGAATGTGCTTATGACCACGTAGAAGTATTTGATGGAGAAACAGAAAAATCACCAATTCTTGGACGACTGTGTGGCAACAAGATACCAGATCCTCTTGTCACTACTGGAAATAAAATGTTTGTTCGGTTTGTTTCTGATGCATCGGTTCAGAGAAAAGGCTTTCAAGCCACACATTCTACAGGTCAGCAACTTAGGGTCATACTTCTTTTTCTCTAACTGAGATCCAGTCTTTTCTTCTGGTAATTGATTGTATTTGGTTCAATATCAGGATTATAAATGAATCTCCAAGCACAGCAGATGAAATCTCACTGAGGCAGTGTGTGAAACATTTGCAGAAGCAGACATTGTACCTAAATGTCTTTGCAGTTGTTGAACATTTAAGAAAAAGAAAACAATAGTTTTAGTCTGATTTGTGATCAGTGCAATATGATCAGGTAGAACTCTTTCTAAATATTTGCATAATATATTTCATATTAACTTTAGCCGTTCAATTTACATGTTACATTTAACAGATAGAAATCTATAGTTTGGTATTAAAAACTTATGTTTTATCTAATAATCTTCCTGGTTAGCTAGCTTTTGCATTACTATATTTTTGTAAATAAGTTTGGGATATATCTCTTTGTTTGACAGAGCCTCATTGTTTTTCTTTCTTTTATTTGGTGTGCAGCATGACCTTTGTTCTAATCCTAGTCTCTAATTGGACTCTAACAGAGTTCAGCTCTTCTGGAAGTCTTTAAGAGATGAAATTTTATTTAGAAAAATATAGTAATTTTTAGACAAAAATGTAGAATAAAATTGTTTATTATTTGGAGCCAGTTTAAATAATATGTTTCATAAAATCTCTAAAGAATGTCCCTTTCTTCATTCAGGTAGAAAAAAAATCTGTTAATTATAAGTATTTGCTAAAGTCACTTAGTTTATGCTGACACCTAGTGGCATAGCTAATGCATAAACAATTGACACTGGAGAAATCTATCTTGTGAAACATCATGTATAGAGGTCATGTATTGAGATCCAATGGTATAGAATGCACTTGGCATTTTATACATATGTATAACATATATATAATATGTATACTACATGCACTTTACATACATTGAATTCTTGCAAGAATTATGTGACATAGATATTATCTTCATTTTGTGGATGAAGAAATTGAAAATCTGGATGATTAATTAATTTGCAAATGTTTTAAAAATAGTTTCAAAGCCTGGTTTTTATCCTAATTCTGTCTCCAAAGCTATGTACTTTCCAATATAGCATATTTTCTCAATGTAAAACTATTAAATTAGGAAGAAAACCAATATGACGCTGCATCTTTATTACTTGGAACAATAAGAAGATTGACTGCTCCTTTATATAAGTTTTGAGCAAATCCTCTGTTCAAAAATATAACTGGCTGCACTCATTGTATTTCCCTGTTCAGTTCATATTCATTTTGATACCCATGTGAGCAACCCTAATCGCATTTTGTTAGGTAATACGTGCCTCGATTATTGTTTAATCCAGCCCTGTCATTTCAGAAATGAGAAATCTGAGGCTAAAAACTTAAACGACAATCAAAATAGCACAAAAAAACTAGTACCAGTTGGAATTAGAGTCCTGGCTTCCCAACGCCTGCTTATTTACCCTTCTTAAAATTTTTGGCATTACTTGTTTATTAATTTGATTGTTTTTTTTTCAGTTATGTATAAATTTTTGCTCTCACTTAACCAGCTATTTTGGAAATTTCTGGGTAGATCTCTTTACACTGCTGTTTTTCTAGTAGCCATATATGCTGAAATATTCTTAGGTACTGCTTGCTATTTATTTTTCCCCAGAACATTCTCTTTAAAAAGTTCATTTATTTTATGCTCTTTTATTAAATATTTTTTGACATCTTCTTTGGATAGACCATGCAATACTAATTTATAGGAAAAAATTAGAAAGCTGTGGGAATTTATAGGACAATATAAGGAATTTCTGCCTGTTGACAGTTTACAATATGATAAATTAAAATTTGGATTTTCAGTTTATCTTGCTTCTGTTGGCAAGACAGCCAATGCCAGTAGCCCACCTGTCACCTTTTGCCTCATATATAATGCACTTATCCATTATTTATAGCCTTCTAGAATATGTGTGGCTGTTATTGACGGGCCCTCAAGTCTACATTTTAATTTGCTTAAGTAAATTTATATTTATGTATAAATTTTAATTTTACCCACAAGAAAAACTTCTAACACTATGAATTTTAAAACCAAGTGATTAGAAATATTGCTATAATATAGCTTTATGGCTCTTTTTCCCCCTGCAGTAGTACTGTGGGAAATACATGGGACATGGACTTTATTGGAAATAGTCCTTTTTACCTCTGACAGTAGCTTCGAATTGTAAGTTCAAATTTGTATTAATCAGATAACAAGTGGTATTACTCCAGCTTTAAATAAAACTAATTGAAGGAAACAAATGTTTTAGTAAAAAAGAAAAGAAGTCCTGTGTTTTCTCTCAGAGGATATGGCTATAATACAGAAAGAGAGGAGAAACATGGAGAGAAAATAATTTTTTAAAACACGGCATTGTCTTTTAAGACTTCTTTTGTGTAGTAGAAAGCATCCTACTATTTGTTAATGACATTTAAAAATCAATTAATATATTATTAACATCCTTAGAAGTACACTATTTTGATCAATTAAATTAGAATGCCCACTGAAAGCATTTATAGGTCAAATTAGAGGACTCCTTCTGGAATTTAATACTTTACTAGGAAATAAACAAACATGTATTTCTAAATTAAAATAAAGACTACCCCAGGGTTCTTTTCCTTTCTTGTTACCTTTTACATTGAGCTGCATTTTCCCTTCCCAGAATGCTATAGAAGACACTCTGGCAGCTTGTAAAGTACTTCCAAACAATCAGTTAAAAGCAGTATTGTTGACATACTAAATGACTGGTAAATGAATAGGAATATTTGCTTAAAACATGTTCACTCTATTTAAAATAATCTTTTAAAGGGACCTGTTAAATGATATATTGAGTATAGTTTTAATGGAAATACTCATAAGCAATTGCCTTCATTCTGCCTAAAATTTTACACTCGTGTAATTTCTCCAGGACCATATTAAAATCATACCTCTCGCGCATATAATATTCTAATGTCCATCCTTCAAAAACTCATCTTGTGGATTAAATTCTCTTTTTTATGGTTAGAACATTAATTCCAGATTTATTAGTTTGGGTAGTGACAGGAATGAGGGTGTGCATTAAACAAATAAATGAAAATAAGGGAAATTTTTGCAGCATTAGTAGTCATCCTTAAGTGGAATTTAAGTCATTTGTTTTTAAGTGTAGGCCGTTTTTTTCTAGAAATTTTCAATAAAATCGAATAATGATAACTTTCTGTGATTTTCAGATTCGCAAAGCCTTATGAAATCTCTTTTCCCATTCTGTTCAATGCCTTCATTTCCTCCTTGATTTTTGTTCCAAGCTGGAGTCGGAGAGGATGACCTCTTGCAGAACCTGGTCCTTGTGTCACTACCTGGTTTCTGTGAAGTAGCATCACCAAAGCCAGTGCCTCCTCCACATCTCCTGCTCCTCCCCTTCAGCCCTTCTTGGGTGTGGAATAAAAGTAACAGAAGTGCTGACAGTTTTTAAAAAGCTGAAAACAAAATAAATTAGTCAACTCTCAAACTTTGCGAAGAGGTAGAATTTTTTTTAAAATCTGTAAATGAGATTACACTGGTTTATGTATTTACAGATTGAATTCAGAAATATTTTTTCACAAAATATTTTACTGGCCTTCAAAAATATGTTTTCTTTTTTTCCTTTCTGAGAGCAGATTAATAGTGTTTTAAATTGTTGTTCAACTTTTCTGCTTTTCATTTCATTCCTGAGTAGAACCTAGAGTACAGATGAGGCATTTAGATGTTCTCATAGGAAAATAACCACAGTAGTAATGATGGCTTAAACTTAGACGGCTTTCTCTATGCACCAGGCACCTGTCAAGCATTTGACATATATTAGCCCATTAACTCTTCAGTCTAGACCCTATCCTGGGAATACTGTGTATGATCCCCATTGTAGAAATGAAGTTGTAGGACAAAGTCCCACAGCTGGTAAAGAACAAAGCTCAAATTTGGAACCAAGCAATGTGACTGTAGAACTCTGTCACAAGGAGAGTTACAGGGATAAGAAAAACACCATGGTGGGAAAGGAAGGATGCTTGGTTTCCAGTCTGTGGGACTTGGGAGATACAGTCCCAAGGCTGATCAGTATTTCACCCTTCTAGAGTGTTTCCAAGAAGGTGTTTCCTCACATATGTACCTTTTTAATAGTGGCAACAGATTGTGCAAGATGTCTATGTATCAACAGATTGTGCACAGTATTCCACTTACCTTTTGGAAGACAGAGGGACATTTAGATTGACCATGTAACTTAGCCCTATGGGGAAGCCATTCTTTTAACCGGAGTCCTAGTTAGAAGTTCTTTCATCACACAAAGGTCTCTGAATGTGCAGTTGTCTGCGACAATGTTCATAGGTTTGGTTGAACCCTATTTAGACACTCTTGAATGGGGTTCTAAACTTGGCAATTCAGAAATATTTTGTTATTTAAAATCACCAAACCACAATATGTGTAAACTGTATACAAATTTGAAAAATCCAAGTAAGAATTTCATCTGCATAATCCATCTTCAAAAAAGGGCTATCTGGTCACAGACGACCATGACAGTGTTACAATTATGTTTTGATATCCAGTGGTTTTGCTTCTCCATATCCTACCATATTGGATTTTTATGGGACTTTCTTGATTTTCGCACAGAAATTCTTGTTTCCCAGGGACCTTCTCAGTCCTTGGCAGGAAGAACCCCTACTTTTTTCTGACACTTTTCATATTCTATTTCATAACGCAAACAGGGGCCTTGTTTGCATGTATATTGGTTGATGGGTTACTGTAGATTCTCTCTGACTTTAAGTCATCTCTAGTTATCATAAAGTTTGGGGATCTGACTACAAAGGGTTCCTGAGAAAATGTCTCGAAACCTTTATTCTCCAAATTATACTAGCTATAAGTTTTTAGGCACACTTATTTATTTATTTGGTGTATTTACCTGTAGCGACAAAGGTAATAAACTGGTAGAGCATGTACTTATTAATATCTCTCTAAAAAAGAAGCTGTAAAGAGTATTTAAATTATTTCATTATAACAGAAAATATAACTGAATAGGTTCTGGAACTACAAAGATGACTATAATTAATGATGTGTGTGTGTTTTTTTCTAATCAAATTAGGCAAATATTTCTACCGAAGTAAAATAATACTGTTCTATATATCCTACATAGAAAGTTCTATATCACACACACACACACACACACACACACACACACACACACACACACAGAGGTTATATGTATTTTGATGACTTTTAAGTTATTTCTTATTCTTTTGGACTCTAGGTTCTTAAAAGATTAAGATTAAATTTGAGTTAAGCCCCTGGCCTTTTCTCCAAGAAAATATTTATTTGAGATTAAAAGCAGGATTAAGTATAATAAAAAAATTAATTCAGAGTTACTGTGTGGCAGGGGCTGTTCTAAGTGATTTTTATGTATTAAATTCTCAAAAATCACTAATATTGGTAGCATTATTATCATCTGCATTTTACCCAGAGAATGACATCACTTACCCAAAGTCGCAGAGCTCTAGTAGGTGTTAGAGCTGAGATTCCACGTGAGGCAGTGTGGGTCTGGGGTCTTTGCCAGTATCCATTACAGAATCTGACTCACCAGTTATGGAAGAATCGCAGCCAATGCTGGAAGTGGAGAGAGATGTTTAGATTACACTGAAATTGAAATTGGGGCCGAGCCCGTGGCGCACTCGGGAGAGTTCAGCGCTGGGAGCGCAGCGATGCTCCCCCCAGGGGTTCGGATCCTATATAGGGATGGCCGGCGCGCTCACTGGCTGAGCGCAGTGCGGGCGACACCAAGCCAAGGGTTGCGATCCCCTTACCGGTCACAAAAAGGACAAAAGAAAAAAAGAAATTGAAGTTGGACCTGTTAAAACTCATTGAGTGGACGCATTTCTTGTTTTTTTTTTTTTTCCTGGGCAGAGTGTGGTGGCCGATTGAGAGCAGAATCAAAACCTCGAGATCTGTACTCGCATGCTCAGTTCGGTGATAACAACTACCCTGGACAGGTCGACTGTGAATGGCTGTTAGTATCAGAACGGGGCTCTCGACTTGAATTATCCTTCCAGACTTTTGAAGTGGAAGAAGAAGCTGACTGTGGCTATGACTATGTTGAGCTCTTTGATGGTCTCAATTCAACAGCTGTGGGGCTCGGTCGATTCTGTGGACCTGGGGTAAATACGTGACCAACAGGATATCATAGACATAATAAAAATGCCTATTCGTTCCTGATTGATATGTGTAACATTTAAATATTGGCAATGTTTTTGGGAAAAAAAGTTATGCCATGTTATTGATAGCTTGACAAAATACAGCATGCCCCTTCTACCCTTACCACTTCTTCACTTCTGATGAATTTGCCTGATAATATCAGGTGAGACAGATGAATTCAGTCGTTATAATTTCTTGTTATTTTTCCATGTGCAATAAATATTTAAGTACTTACTAATCTAAAAGCAATACACTTAAACACATACCCTTGACAATTTTGTCACCTCCCTAAATTAAAGCATAAAAGAAAAAAGTCCATGCACACCATTCTAATTCACTTTTCCTTTTCAACAAGTATATTTGGTGAGAGTAGCAGGACCGTCCGTGGTGTGTGGGCTCAGCCAGAGCTGCAAGAATATTGCTCTGTTGCACAGAGTGTCACTTGTGCAGGTACAGAGTGCCAGATACAGGTCAGAAGAGGTTACCATGAAAAATAAGAAAAGGAAAAGCTTAAGACTTTCCCAATGCTTTTTTCCCAGGACTCACTGCATTAATATTGAATAGTCTTCTGAATACATATTTTATATTTTGTTCTGAAGGTATTAGTCCCAATTTCTGAATGTCTACCAGTATCTGTTGCTTAAATAATACTGTTGAACTCCTGCCCAAACAGCAACTGAAATGAAACAAAAAAGCTTCTTGGTATCTGAATCACCAATACAAGAAGTAATGGAGGATTTGGATTCTGGAAGTGACTCTGCTGCAGAGCAGCTTCTGAAACAAATTTAATATAACTTTACCTTCATTGATCCTCACTTTACTTATTTGTAAATCTCAAGAACTTGGCTTAAGGGTTTGTGAAGAAACACCAAGTTCTAGAGAAGAAAGTTCCCAGAACTTGGAAACAGACTAACATATGTTGAAAGCCCAGCCCTGTCGCTGATCACCCATGTGATCTCTAGCATGTCATGTTTATCTCTGAATCTCAAGTTTTCTCATCTCTAAAATGACGTCAATCGAGATTGTTGGGAATATTAAATTATATACTAAAGAAAAAATTCCCAAATACGTATTACATTGAAGAAAAAGTGACTTATTCTGTTTTGTGTTTATTTGCTTTTTTTTTTTTTTTTCAGCCAGCAGAAGATATCTATTCAGTTGGGGATGCAGTTTTAATTCATTTTCACACTGATGACACAATCAACAAGAAAGGATTTCATATAAGATACAAAAGCATAAGATATCCAGATACCACACATACCAAAAAATAACACCAAAACCTTTGTCGGAACATAAAGGAATGTGCATAATGGAGAGAAGGCGTATTTTTTTAAAAGTGCGATATTAGCACAAATGTTTTATATGAATTTGAACAAAAGAAAACTGTGAGACCAAATTATCTCTGTCTGAAAGAGAAGTTTCCAGCTGATCAGCGTTATAAGAACATTTGAGCTCCATGCTTGCTGGAATTACTAAAGCTGGTGAAAGGGCATCGCGTGCTTCAGAGACAACTCTACAAGCTTCTGTTCACAGCTTGAAATAGAAGACACAATTCAGACAGTTCACTACGGGGGCTGTGACCCTGCAGACTGTTCTTTTAAGACAAATTTTCAAGATTTGGGGACATTAAATGATCTTGCAGGTCATAAACTGGAAAACCCTCTTCTTGTGTCTTAGGATAATTGTTTTGACTTTGTATCTTGGATACAATTTAAATCAGATTCATATAAAGTGATGTGAAATGGGAATCTTTTGAGAGTGGTTTGTACTTTTAATGTGTGTGTGTGTGTCTGAAGTTTGGAAACTGGAATATTTCAGCTTCATGATTTTCACTTGCAGGCCAGTTTAACCTCTTTGAAACACAAATGATCTTGAGACCACTTCATTGTACCTACATTTTGGCAAATTTGAAATGTGAATAATGTCTATTATTGCAGTTAAATTCTAGACATCATTTATTTAAGTACCAGAAAAACGCCCCGTTAATTGGTAAACTCAGTTTTTTCTGTGGAAGTGCTGCCTTTTCACACCGAATCCAAGAAGCCTGTGATGTCTTATGAACCTTGTGAGAAAACTCCAAAGAGGAGTGGGCAGGATTCTTCTAAATGTCCACCCGGATGCTTCATGTTCAAGTCACTGCTGCTGCTACTGTCTTTCTTCTGGTTTTGATCAGTTATTGTTGTATCTAGTATCGTTGATGTTTTCATGGTTAATGTATTTTTTAAAAAATGAAATGAAGTAGAAATCAGCCTTGTGAGGGTTGAAATATCTTTTTTTTTTCTCTTCCTGGGACACATTGTTTAAAAAATGTAATATTGGTAAAGAGGATTTGTTTCTGAAAGATTTCCTGTGGTGCTATTCCATAAACATTTTCTTCAACACGTTTTTGACCTTTGAGCCAACCGCCTGTAGACTATGAATGTCTCCCTATCCTTGGCTGGTGATTTGATGACTTGTTGAATATATCAAGATGTATCGCTGCAAGGGTGGCACTTGTCCTGTGGAACAACTACTTATCATGCCTTAGAATTCTTGAACATGATCAAACAGATCCTCCTAGAGACAGACACGTCTTCTGAAATATTGAACACAATAGCGTATGTTAATTAGTAGCTCTATGATGAATATTCATTTCCATGACTGAAAAATTGGATATAAATATAGTGACCTACTTTTGTTGCAGAAAATGTAATTTTAAAATGAATTTTCTCCTTTAAAGCCATGTGTGTTTTTAATATTAATGTATGTATATGTGAGATTGTTTGAATGAGTAAAACTACAGGAAGATGGTTGAAAGTAACGGATGGTTGAAAAGTTCACATCTATGTGCCAAGTTCTACTAGAATCCTGTGTGACATAGCACCTCTCTTAGGTTTCATGGACAAATAATGGGAACTTCTAATTATTGTCAATCCCATTTTAAAAAGGCTGTTTCCTTTAGATATTTTTTGCTATTTTTGGCGTTGATATAGAGTGCTATTTGAAGTAGATTTGTTTCTGTTACTTGTCCATGAACATTCAACATTTAATCAAATTGGGTTTATTTCTTCATTTTTACAAATCCAACTATACACACAGATGTAGCTTTTTTTTTCTCCTTCATTTTGCCCTGAAAAATCTTTACTTGCATATGAATTGTAAAATGTAAATACACTTTTAAAAACAATGTGTTGATCTTATCGAATGCCACTTTGGAGATATATAACTATTGCCTGCAAAGTAAATGAGCCTTTTAGTGGAGCTGATTTATTCCAGCAATTTCTTCCATATTTTTTAACTAATGTCCAATTAGCCAAAATATCCCAGGAACAGAGGAGAGAAGAACAATAGATTAGCCCCTGTAGTGCTTTCCACTCCTCCTCGCCTGGTGTCACGCACATGCACCAGCTCTTTCTAAACTCCATACTACGCTTCGAGGACTGTCCTAAAGTTCTTATTTTGTAGTCCAGGAACTAGGGCTCAAAGAAGTTATGTAACCTTCCTAGGGCCACAGTATAAAGCTAAATGTTGAAACCCAGCTTGGCTAATATCAAAGTCTGTGCTGGTTCTACAAAATGCAGTAGAACCAATCTTGACGTATATAATTAGTAGATATTTTTATAATGAAACCTTTCCACATAAAGTAAATTTTAGGGGTGAATTAAAGTAAAACCATCAGGATAAACATATTATTCCTTTCAGGAACAGCATGAGAATTAGAATAGATATCGATAAGCACCAGAATTAGTACTAGAAATTTAAAAAAAAAAAAAAAAACACCTATAGATTGGAGTTAGTATGGACCTTTTGTTAAAATAAATATGTTAACTTATTTGACCTGACATGGAAGGGAGAATGTAGTGTTCTATTTTAAGAAACACTCTGGATATTCCAGTTGACAGCTTCTTAGTCCACAATGAACTGTGCTCAACACAACTGGGTAATTAAAGAGGGTATTTAGAACGCATACAGAGGTATTGTCGTAACTTTAGGTTTTCAAGGTGAACATTAATTTTTATTGTATCGTATGTCAATTATCAGTTTACTGCATTTTTTTATATTAATTCAACATTTGCCTTAAATGTGTTGTTGAATCTAAATAAGTTTCATTGTTGTTTTGTTAATAATTGTCAGTTACTGTTCTAGGCATTTTATTAAATTAATTTTGTAAATTATTTTCAACCCTTACATGAATATTTTGCTTGTGTTTTATATTTGCCAAAGTTCTAATTCCCATAAAATGCTCACCGATTACACTCCAAAAAAACCTGTTCCCACTTAATATGGTTTTATTAAATTATTTTTAAATGTCAATTTTGAAAATAAATCTAGTTCATTAAGATCATGATTTGACAAAACTTCACAAAACAACTTTTATTTTTTATTTTTTTATTTTTTTTAAAGATGACCAGTAAGGGGATCTTAACCCTTGACTTGGTGTTGTCAGCACCACGCTCAGCCAGCGAGCAAACCAGCCATCCCTATATGGGATCCGAACCCGGGGCCTTGGTGTTATCAGCACTGCACTCTCCCAAGTGAGCCACAGGCCGGCCCCACAAAACAACTTGAAAAAAAAAAGAAATGAAATGAATGAGAAACAGCAATTATACTTCCAAAGTCCCCAAACATCCCATGCCTGTTTTGGCTGGACTTTTGCAATCTAAGACTAATTTTGATCTGTCACAGTATCAGGTTCAAATTCTGTCTGATTTTGTTTTTAAATATCTCAGTCTTTTTATTTGGTTTCTGTTACTGCTGTATTTTTTATGGTAAGCTTCAAATATCAAGCTTTTTCAGCCATGTAGAAAATGTCTAAAAACATCTAATGCCTAATTTTATTCTTCATAAAGTTAAAAGTTATGTTTTAAGAGAAACATTAGAGTACATCCTCATTTAGATTTAGTAAAACTATAAACGTGTGACATTAAAAATAACTTTTACTTAAAATGATTATCAAAAGTTTGGAAACTTTTATTTAGTGGTAATGGGAATAAGACTTGCTTTTTGGAAAACGTTTGATGCCACTTGTTAAGTTTGGCATGGAAGAAGGAAAACAGGATAAATAATTACCTCCTAAAATTTATAATTGGAATTTCAGTAATGCCTTCTCTTCTACAAGAGCAAACATATACTATGAACTTATCAAAAAGATTTTTTTTAAAGGTGGTCTGTGAAATCATTGAAGCTTTTTATGTCTCAGTGCATGGTAAATGTTTACGGTGAATATTTAGCTTTTGGTCTTTTAGTGTTATAAAGTTTAGACATTCTGTCATTAGCTTAGGAAATACGTGATAGAAAGGCTAGCTCTGCTACATCCTGAAATTTTGACGACTACTTTTTTCGCTGTCAGACCTTCCACCTGCCCACTTTTCATTTACCCCCAGTACCTTGAACCTGAATCCAAGCTGACCATGTGACTCTAATTCCAACCACAATATCCTACTGCAGGGACCAATGCAGGATGATTCCAAAAGAATTATAGGGTCCTGGGCACACCTTGCTATATATAACCTTCCTAGCATAGAACTAAGGACTCAGCATGACAGCTGCTTCTGTCATGGGCCAGCTCTCCTTCCAGACTCTAACTCCATGAGGCCAGATACCTGTCTAGATCTTGTTTGTGTCCACAGTGTCCCCTATGCTGATAGCATTGTCGTGGTAGTTGCTCAAGAGACATTTAATTGGATAATTTAGAAATATATTCATATTTTTTAAAAATGAAATATGTTCATATTTTAAAAAATGGATTCAAAGAATATTTGAAGAAATAGTGATTTTCTTTTTTACTGGACCAAAATTTCAAAAGTTCATCTTATGGAAACAAATGATTTCCAATGTTCTGCTTTCAAGTTACAAGGAATCCCTATAGAAGTAATATATGTCCATTGTAGAATTTTTTTATAAAGAAAATAAAGAGGAATCAATGTGTGCTAGAAATTATTCATACCCCTAATGAGCAGAGATTATCA